GCAGTCTGCATGACGCTCCTGACATCCCCGTTCTGACCCTGTCCAGTCGCGTCCAGCCGCAGGCCCATCTCAGCATCCTAACTTCGGCGCAGTGAAGCTTGCTATGCTTCTTGCCCACTGACAGCACTCGGCGCCGTACCGGAAAGTGGTAAGGTCAGCATCGCAGACCTTACCACTTTCCGGTACACCTTCTTTGAGCGTTCTGGAGCACCTTCGATCGCAGAGGATTCCAGTGGACTCCCTCCATTTCATCCACAGCGTTGACCGAGCCTTCACCGCCTGATCCACACTCCGGCTGCCAGATCGCTCCCAAGGTATCGGAAGTCCTCCACTCTTTCGATGGTCTCACCATGGCCGTCCACGATCGGCTCTGCACCCTCTTCGAGCTCAGGAACTTGGTCTTCTTGACATTCAGCCGGAGCCCACCTTCTGCCAGGACTTTCTGCCATTTCTGCACCTTGGCCTGTAGTTCCTCTCTGCTATCCGCTATCAGGGCGATGTCGTCAGCGTAGAGGATGGTCTTTAGTGGTCCTTCCATGAGCCCCTTCACCATGACATCTAGTGTTAGGAGGAAGAGGAAGGGACTCAGAGCTGACCCTTGGTGCACTCCAGCCGTGACGTCTGTCTCCTTTGTCTGACCAGGCAAAGTGTGTATTACTGGCTTAGCCTGATCGCACATATCCTTCACCAGGAAAGGGTGTTCTGGCACGTTCCGTTCCCTGAGCGCTCTCCATAGTACTGCTCGCGGTAGCCGGTCGAACGCCTTCTCCAGGTCGAGGAAGGCTAGGTAGCAGGGTCGGCGCTTTTCTCGATACTTCTCCATCACTTGCCTTGCGATGAAGATGGCATCCGTTGTAGATCTTTCGGGCATGAACCCGAACTGTTCCTGGGAGATCGGGACCAGCTCCCGCAGCTTCGAGTCGAGAAGTCGCTCGTACAGCTTCTTGGTATGCGTACTTCATTATTTCTCGACAAACCTCATCCTCTGTCCACAGTGAGATGGGACCAGCCGTCGCCTCTGCTTGTGAGCTGTCTTTGTGGGGAACTCCTCGTTCAGGAGCGCACTTGTAGTACTCCTTCCCACCTCCTCTCGACTTCAGCTGGCTTCCTCAGAATGCTTCCTTGCTGTTTTCCACACTCTTCACGAGCAGATGGTCGATTTCCGTTTGTCTCCCTCCACTGCTGTAGGTTACCTTCTTGAGTCTCTCCTTTTCGCGAAGAACGTGCTGCAGACTGCCAGATCGTGGGCCGTAGCCAGGTCCAGAACCCTCTCCCTCAGCGTTCCTCGTTCCTATCACCTCCGTGCACCCTTTTATGCCTCTTCTTTCACTACCGACGTGACCAGATCTTTTGGGTTGAGCTATTTGCCCTCCGGAATTGATCTTGTGGTATCGTCTAGACTCAAATAGAAATCGTCCTTTTTCATCCGGCTTGCGGTGCGTACACGGAGAGTATGGTCCAGTACTCCTCCTTCGTGTCCATCCTCACAGCCATGATCCGATGCTGCCTGTTCACAGCGGAGACATAGTCCTTGAGCGACTCCGCTACCGCTATGGCCACGCCGTTCCGCTTGGTGTCTTCTCCATTGTAGTAGAGTTTGACACCTTCCCCGATTTCCCTGGCCTTAGCACCTTTCCATCGCGTCTCCTGAAGGCATAGGACTTGGATGTTCTTGCGCGTCATTAGATCGGCAACCTCGTGAGACTTCTCGCTCCGCGCACATTTAGACTTCAAATTGAAGTAGTTTGTTTTCCGAGATCATTGAGCGGTAGCCCTCGCTTCCTGGCCTCGTGAGGTTCTGCGCGCCTCTTCTAGGTGACGTCCCAGCATTAA